AAAACTCATGATTGCACTTAAAGCAAGGTTAATAGTATAGCCAACTACTAGCTCCAAATCATCTATAGCCAATTTAATAGCTAATTCATACAATAGTTGCTTACTATACTATTAATACCTGGTCCCATCTGTCATACACGTACACATTATGTCTTGAAATCCGTGCTGCAGCTGGCTACATATCTATAGCCCGCTGCTCTTCTATCTTCTCTTTTATCTTTTTAAAATATGTTTATAGTTAGCTTATAATATGCTATTATACCTGCTCTTAAAATGGGACTGAGGGAGTATATTTATAAAACCATTAACATTATACTAATATAATATGAAGAAACGTGAGGCAAATGAAACAATAGTACTACTACTAGCTAGTACACGTACTGCATGCAGCAGTGTTGGTCGTTGGTTCCATATATTTCTTGGCATGCAACGATCGAATCCGATCCGAGAAAAAGCTACTACTGTCCTGTGCTGTCTGCAGCTTTGTTCACTTGTCACATCGATTGATCGTCCCAGCTGCCGACCTCGCGATCTGCAATTTACACAGTACAGCGATGGATCGATGCATTCATCGATCGATCAAACCGTTAATTACCTACAGAACCAACGTACCAGAAGGCTTGCTAGCTAGCTGCAGCTTAATTAATTCACTGTATTACTACATGTGTGTTACTTTCTCGATCAGCTTCTTGCTTCGTACGTGCTTCCATCTCCACCACAAATTTCTCTGCTATATATAGCTTGCTTTCTGCGGCTGCATCCACCGGAGAAAACGACGTATATATACAGCCAGCCGACTTAATTAGTTTTCGGTCAATAGTTCTATAAGCTAGTAATATATAATATCTCATTTAATCCTAATACTATACATATGTTGATGTACTACATATATACTGCCTCCATCTCGTATAATAGCTACTTCTAACATTTAAATTTTGCCTCAAAATATATACATTACCTAGCTACTTCTCCAACTATATTATCTCAACCAATAATCACAGCATCTCTCATCATCTAATTATTCCACCTACTTTCTTTATTATCTCAACCGATCATGATCATTAATTTCACGGTGTTCCTTAACCTCTCTAAAAAAAATTCAAAAGTATTACTGTAGTGCTATACTCTCTTTTTTTTTAGTAATATAATTGTTTTTGTTACATCAAGGCTTTGACTAATAACTATTTTGCAGTTTCTAAAAACAACAATCGTTTTACATTTATTTCACGTTTTCATATCCATTGGTTATTTGTAAAATTTTCTTAATAGGAATAAAATTCATCCTTTCATTTAATATATCACTTGCCCTTTCAAACTCAGTCACATTAGATAGAAATTACGAATAATAAATTTGGCACCCTACCTTATTTATTGATATGAATATGAGCACACCAACCTTATTCTTAAATTTGTACCATGTGTGAAATCAAACTTAAACATATTTTAAACATTGGTACTTCACAAAAAAAAATGTGCTGTAGATTTAAATAAAAGATTGCACATTTACTTTTCGGGGTGTGCGTGTGTGCGCGATCAGATTTGAACCTCTGTATTTATGGCTTGGTATGTGATTTGACAATTTGAATTTAGAGTATTAAATATAATTGGCATGTTATATTTTAAATTTGTATGGCATAAATATGTGATATCATTTTAGGAATTACGACGCTTACCTTATTAAACGTTATGAATTTTAATGACACTTTAAAGAATATTAATTCTTTCCTTATTATGAGATCCTACCCAGAACAAGGTAATATACCATTGGATTCTAGTCTAATGGACAGTGAAAACATTTGGAGCACCTTAAAAAAAATTCCATTGTTTTTTTATATAAAAACAATTATTGTAAGTAAGCAATTTTAACATGTATCTTTAATTTTGTGTTAAATATATATATCTTGCTAGAGTAATTATTGTCAAAGTCTTGCCCTAACAAAACAAAATAATACACAATATATTTTTTAACGAAAGGAGCATATAGAATGGCTAACGCATGCCACACTGGGAATATGGAAGAATTAATCCGATTTGGGATGAATTGATTATTCTCGATCGTCCCTAAGAAATTCCAGTACCGGCATATATATAGTGGCATTCGTTCTTGTATACCAAACAAGTAATTATTAACTTGCAATTCAATCAACAAAAGATTCTGGTACATAATTAATTGACACATTTAACTAAAGAAAAATAACAGCCCCCAAGTCCAACTTTTGAATGATGTGTAATTGCCCTCGAGAACATTTTTATATCGATAAATTAGTTATAGCTAGGTCTCGATGAAATGCTAGCTTAATTCAGCTTGCATATATAGAAGCATAACCACACTTACTTAAATTATCTTGCTTGGACCAACCAACAAAACAATAAGAGGGTTGAGGGTTGAAAGTTTTTTTTTCAGAAAAAAATATTACATACATGAATTATCTACCCAATCCATGTATATATATATATATATATATATATATATATATATATATATATATATATATATATATATATATATTCTCAAAGATGGGGGGCTGTACAATATCTATATATATGTCTATATGAGCATATTAAAGCATTAAAGCATTTTCTTTTTGGGGTAAACCTCGAGAAGGAGGACAGGGAGTTCATGTTTTATATTAGGAAGAAAAAGGAGTTGGCCTAGTTTATCATGGGCCAAAAAACCAAACAACCATACGATTAATTGATGAAAAATCGGCAAATAAAAACCCAACTCTATCAGCACATAATACTGGTGGAAAAACCATTTTTGGTCGGTCGGCCAAAATACACAATATTCCCGGTTGCAATAAAAACCGGGACTAAAGATATCTTTAGTCCCGGTTCAAAAGGTTAGAGTTTTTTTTTTATCTTTAGTCCCGGTTGGTATTACCAACCGGAACAAAAGATCTATTTTTAGTCCCGGTTGGTAACACCAACCGGAACAAAAGATCCCTATTATCTTTAGTCACCAACACCAACCGGGACTAAAGATCTATTTACAGTCCCGGTTGGTGTTACCAACCGGAATAAAAGATCGGCATGCGCAACATGGGCGGCGGAGAGTACGAGGCCAGATCGAGGAGGAGGAGGAGCAGTTAATATATTCTATCTCCTCACTGGCCTTATCTCTTCCTCCATATCTCTTCCTCCATATCTCTTCCTCTTCCTCCTCCTCTCCTTTTAACTTCTCTCCTCTAACTCCTCTTCTCCTTTTCCTCTTTCTCCTCTATGAGCGCCGGCGAGTGGAGGGCCTGGTGGCCGGCGGCGTGCCGGCAGCGCGGCGCGGAGGCCCAGGCGGCCTCACGGCCTCGCGGGCGGCGCGGCGCTAGGCGGTGCTGCGGCGCGGCGACCCGGGCGGCCTCGCGGGTGGCGCGGTGGCTGGGCGGTGCGGGCGACGCCGTGGCTGGGGGCGGCACGGCGCTGGGTGGCGCGGCGGCCCGGGCGGCCTCGCGGGCGGCGCGGAGGCTGGGCGGTGCGGCAGCGCGGCGGCCCGGGCGGCGCAGTGGCAGGCGGCGCGGTGGAGGATTTTTTTTCTTCTTCTTTTTAGAATTTGTGATTCGAATCTGTGTATTTGATTTGTGTGTGATGTGAATGTGATGTATCTGTGATGAATTTTGTAAAATTTGTGATGTATCGATTTGGGGAGTTGAGGATTTGAGGATTTGGGGATAATTTATTTGGGATTTTGGGATGGGGATGGGGTCAAATCAATATAATGAAGAAAAGAAAATAATAATGGAGCAACCGGATCTAGCTTGTCTAGCTCTATCTTTAGTCCCGGTTGGTGTTACCAACCGGGACTAAAAAAGGCTCTATCTTTAGTCCCGGTTGGTAACACCAACCGTGACTAAAAATAGATTTTTACTCCCGGTTTTTTCACCCACAATCTTTAGTCCCGGATTGATAGTCCCGGTTTGAAAACCGGGACTACAGGGGGGTTACGAACCGGGAGTAAAGCCCCGTTCTCCACCAGTGTAAGCCAACCCTAGAAACTACAAACCACCATAAAACCAAGCAAAGCAAAAAATTAAACCACCACATTAAAGCATTTTCTTCATCTTATTTTTCACCAGACTAATTCATTCATTTTTCTCATGTGCAAAGTATGAAAACTTGCAGCAGATGGAATATAACTACCTCCCAAATTAAGTACTACTAATGGGGACTGCATGCAGTTCATATATGTACATATTAGTAGCTAGAATATGCCCGTATTTTGTTACGGATTAAAAAGAGAATCATATGGTACGGTATTACATATTCACGTGGGAAAAATATATAGACGATATACAATAATATATCCACTTCTCTATCTAGTTGAATCAAGCTGTTTCTAGTAGTCTTCTTATTGTAGAGTACATTTGAGAACCTGCATGTCATTGATAGGGGCGGTGGTTGCCACCATGCACCATTGCCTTCTTTTAAAGTGGTATAGGTATTTCAAATATCCGAACATGAAAGCACAAATATATGTACACGTTTTTTTTTAACTAATTAACCTCCCATGCGAGATTTTGTGCAGAAAGAACTAGATTTAAAAGTAGAACGTACTGTATTTAATATACATCTCTATCTGTTTACATGTATACATCTATAACTATCTTGATCGATCTATCCCGTTATAATCTAATCTAGACCTAGAGACGGAGACGGAGACGGCGAAGGGGCCAACTCGGCCTCCCCTTGTCTTCAAATTTTACATTGAATTTTATAGCTAGCTCGAGGAAATTTTGAAGAAAAAAACTAACACTATTGCCCCCTCCAACATAGATTTTTTAGTGTTTCCAGCCCACTTAGCATGACAACCAAATGATGCAAATTAATATAGATCCTTTTATCCTATCAATGTGATAATTTTTAAGCCATCCAGAAAAAGATGTGGTACGTGACTCCTTTTTGCCATCTATCTCTTCTTAATATAGCACGCATGTACTAATGACATAAATTAGCTAATATATTGCACATATATATGGATCAGTCGATACAGGATACCAATCAAAAGCATCTAGAGGGATATGGATATTTTATTTATCTTCTTGTAAATACAGTATACCTCAGCGTGATACATATAAGCGTAAGTACACGCCTATATCTCTGACAATCTTTAATTTGGTCACTAATAATCGCACAGGCGACCATCATATCATATATATGTAAATTTTGCATAGTCATGATGTATTAATTGTACGTGCTAGAATTCAATTTCCTCTGATCTCCTCTCTCGAATATTGAAGTTCTGATATATATATATATAGGTACTGCATGGTTTAATTATTAGAACTTGTGCCACTGATGATCATAGCTGCTTACCCCTGGCCTGCTGGTGGTGGAGTACACCTGCATGTTTGCATTGATCATAGTAGGATTATCAGGCTCCAACTCCTCCAGCTCTGCAAAGACCTCATCAGCTGCTGAAGGTTGGATGCCAAGTCCAGCGCCGGCGCCCTCCGTCGTCATCATCATGTTGGCCTGTTGGCCACCGAGCACGACGTCGGCGTAGAGATTGAATGGGGAGGAGGAAGAAGACGATGAGCTTGTGATCAGTGCAGGCTGCAGCTGGTTGGTCTGCTGCTGCTGCTGTTGCTTGTGGCGGCTGCTGGAGGCAGTAGCATGAGTACTGTGATGAGAACGGGCATATCCGGCGAGCACATTACGTTGCATCGGCCATGGGTGGTTGTGCTCCGCCGCGTAGGTGATCACCAGCATGTTGGGGTCGCTGCGGCTGCGCTCCACCTGCTTCCTCGCCATACATCCCTTTGAGCTGCTGCATCTGTAGTAACCCCTGCATCATCACCGCCCACAAAATCAACTCATCAGTGAATTATTATTTTTTAATTAATTTCCTGATCAACCGCATATATATAAAATTATTGTGCCTAGATATATATATACCCTTAGAATGCAGTGTATGAATGGTTTGATCAAATTTGAAGATGGCACAGTAATGTCAAACTGAGTCCACTAAGCCAGAATAATTGTTAATTCATCGAGAAATTTAATTAATTGTGAGTAAATTAAGCTTATCGATCCCTGTACTTGAAGTTTCATTTTTACCTTTTAAATTAATTTGAAAACGGCAAACATAGCTATTTTGTTCCAATTTTTGCCTCAAAAGTAAAAGCAACTTAATTTGTGGCAGTCTTGCAATATCTACTATTTCAACAATTAATAATGTTTGATTTACGCAATTTGCAATTGGGAGTATTAGTTTCTCACAAATGACACTACATTGGGTCATAATTGTGATGAATCACTTATTAGATCCCCATGTATATATGGAAGAATTCATTGATGATAGATTTACATTTTAGGGATTGCTTGGGCATAGGTGTATATATAACCTTCAGACGGTACAATGTTGAAACTCCGACACAATCTGAAGTGATTATATACGTTTGATTAATCCATACATATCCATCCAAACCCTTATTAGGTCGTTCAAGTGCCATTGGAAGTTTGAAACCCAACACTACACAAATAATTAATCAATAATAGACAAGCATATTGTCTATTATGATGCTGTCGAATTATTTTTCTAAAAGAAATGTTTTGTATACTTGATTTGGATCATTGGAGATTTGGTATATTAAATGTGTATTGTGCAGTAAATTAATTTTGGGTTCTATTCACGTTGGTTGGCTTTGGCTGATAAGTTATACAAAAGTAAACGAAGCAACCGAAAATAATTTTAGGTTAGGCCTTTTATATACTATTTATACCATTAGTGGTAAAAAGCCAAGGTTGGAAATAAGTTTAAAATAAAAAAGGAGGATAATTTAAAATTAACTTTAAAATAAATGAGTAAATGACCTTTTATCACCAAAGTTTCACTTTGAACTACCCTTTAAAACATCTTTTCTCTTTGGACTAGATTAGTTTGCCTTTGTTTCACTTTGAACCATCCCAAAAACTTTTCTCGAGCACATAAATGACTTTAACCACATCAACACCCATAAACCGCTAACTTCCTGGCTCACATGTAGACTATTATTCACAAGATTAGAGGGTAGATGCACTAGAAAAGTGACTTGGGGTGGTCCAAACTGCAACAAAGATAATCTTACCTAGTCTAAAGTGAAAATATTAGCTAGAGGGTAGCCCAAAAAGTGAAACTTTGGTAATAAAAGATGGACCAAAGTGCAATTAACTCAATTTAAATTGTGTCAATGACTTATAAGCCAACAAGCAAATAATGGGGAACTTCATGTAATCTAGCTAAGTAATAAACCCAAAGTTGTGGCTTACTAACAAAAAATGTTGTTTGAATTGAAAATTGGGGGGGGGGGGGGGGTGTACAGATATATATGTACTTCCTTATTCCATATGTAAGCCATTTAAAACTTATGTGCAAGAATTAAAAAAAAATAGCTCAAGCGACTTTTGTTACCCTTTATTTATATTGTTTTGGAAAATATTGGTAGTTTATTTATGAGAAAAATATAATTTATTTGGCAAGAGAAACCATAAATATAAGTTTTTTTACACCGAAACCATAAATATAAGTTGAAATTAAAAGATGCCTGCAAATTTTGAAACAACATACTTTTAGAGTTTAAAAAAGGCTAAGATGGCTTACACTTGGACTCATAGGGGATCAGTATATATATATTTCAAAAGTTGTTTAATTATGACAAACCAATTGAAATTGTCTAAACAAGAAATATGGAAGCTGCTTGTTTTTTAGTTAATTAGCTTATAAAAAAGGATGGCCATGATTTTGATGCTTTTGCCCAGAGATACAGTACCTGCAGAGATATGAGCAATAAATATTAATGAACTTACATAATATAAAATGAATATAATTAATACCTAGAGGGAACATAATATAACTAAGCAGTAAGCACACAATAGGAATGAACGAAACATATATATCTGATGAGATATCTCTTGATTCCAATAAACTTCGTATAAATTGGATCGGTCATTAAGTATAAAAATATTTATGCAGAAAGTGATTAATTGTTTATCAAGAATGGGAGGAATAGGAATGATTGAAAGATATTTGATGAGATCTTGATGCAAATAAACTTCATGTATGAATCGGGTCATTAGGTACAAGATATATATGAACAGATCGATTAAGTGAGCGCGTGTTAAAAAAAAAAAGAGGGGAAGAAACAGATGAAAATGTGGCCGGTTTACCGTGGATAAGGAGAGCCTTTGATGGGTTTCTGGCCGTACTTCCTCCATGCCCATAGATCAGACGGGATCACCTCTCCTCCACCTCCACGGCTACTCGTCGCTGGCGGCGCCGGGATGCACACCACTTTCTTCACCTCATTCTTCCTGTAGTATATATGCCAAAGGATGCAAGCAAGTAATTAATTAATTGCTTGAAAATAAACTAACACTAAATAGTTAAGACTTTTGATTAATTGGAAATCGATTGATGTAAGTATTCCTCGCTCATTAGAGAAACGTGAAAAGCAAATTAGGAGGAACTGAAGTCAAGTATGATTTAGTTCCAAACCTGTCAAAGAGTTATGTGTACATGTACAGTTGCTAGATATGAGCATTAATACTGAAAACGGCCATATGCGAGGAGTAAAACTCTGAGAAGAGTAAGATCGAGTTAATATTAATTTGGCGATATGGGTAGGGGGTGCAAGCATCAAATGCCAATCCATGAAATCCTGCTAGCTTGCTTAAAGGTGATGAAGTCAGAATTAATGACGACTCATATATATATAATCTGTCAGTATATGTAATGGATCGAAAGGAATGCTGAAAATGAGAGCCAAAGATATCTGCACACACACACATGCATGAACTAATAAAAAGATCAAAGTGATAAAAAGAAGCGGTAACACAAAGCCGGGATCGATCAGAGGGATGCAAATCATCAATTGAAGGAAGGACCAAGATGTGTATACATTAAGGAAGAAGAGGAGTGATCGAAATATGAATCCAATTAATTAGAGAACTAATTAATAATGTTAAGAGCTAGCTAGCATGCCAAACCTTTTCATCATTTGATGATGAGCAGACGGCGTCAGTGGCGAGATCCTGATGGCTTCTTCTCCATCATCGGCAGCGCCTGCGCCTCCGCCGCCCATCACCACGTCGCCGCCGCCACAGAGGGCGTGCTGGGAGATCTGGAGAGCAAGCGGCCGCGGCATCCCGTAGCCGGCGTCGCCGGGTGTGAGGTGGTGGTATGAGTCGACGACCGTGGATGGCGGCCCCGCCGTCTCGAACGGCACAGGTGCGTCGGTGTAAGCGATGGTGGTAGGGCGCCGAAGCTCTCCGTGGTGGTGGTGGTGGTAAGGGATGGTGATCTGGGGGGCGGGATAGTATTGGTGAGGCGCCTGAGGCATGGGAGGAGGAGGAAGAGGATGCAGAGGTGAGGGGTGATGGTGAGGGGTGGAGACGAGGAATGCGCGTGCATTGGCACGGGCCACGACGTCGGCGAGGTCGCCAGCAGCAGCAGCTTGAGCAGTGGCGGCGTTGGCAGCCTCCTCCTCCATCATATCCATAGTGGCGTGCTCGCTCTTTCTAGTTTCTGTCTGATGCTTAATTAGCTGCTGCTGCTGTTGCTGCTGCCTATTCAGTATTCACTAGTAGCTAGTACTGGTACACACACTCCCACTCCCGTCCAGCCTTGCCTGCAGGAGCACTAGTAGTGCACGCACTCACAGTGCTACTGGCCGGCTACTACCAGCTCGATTGATCTCTGAATCTCTCTCTTTTTCTCTCTCTCACATGCATGCATGATAGCATATGAGCATGAGAGAGCAGAGAGTTCGATTGCTCGATCGATGATCGGTATGTATATGAGTGGGATGCATGCAGAGTCAGATCGATCGATACTAGATATCGAGAACGATCGAGGTAGCAAAGGAAAGGAAGATATATAGCTGCTAGGTGGCAAACGCGTCGTGTTTTGAGTCGGTCGTCGCAGAGACCATGGATCGATCAGCTGATAGTATTTATTTGGCCACCACACAAGCTACAAGCTACAGCGCGAAGCAACTGTTCGCCCCACACACCAACTGTAGATGGATGCATCCCCCCCCCCCCCCCCCCCCCCCAGCCTATTGCAACACAGCAAGTCAGATATATGCGGCAACCAACAAGCTAGCTGCTCTCGCTCGATCGATGATGGCCACACCACCATATGCGCATTCTTCGTCCTCTGCTACTACCTGTAGCCTGTAGCTTCCTTTTATTTTCCCCTCCTCTTCTTCTCTCCTTGCAATATATATTTGCTCCTCCGATCCGTATCGGTATGCATGAGAGAGAGAGAGAAGCTAGATAGCTTGCTTAGCTAGAGGAAAACGACGAGGGGACAGAGACATGGTGGCACTTATGATAGAGAGAGAAGAGAGGGAGAGGGAGAGTGAGCCGGGCATGCAGAGATGCAGATGCAGTAGGCCATGCAACCTGCCTTTGCCTTCATTTGTTGGCTCGCCTGTTTCTTTCGCTACATGATATCTCACTTTCATCCCCCTTCTTTCAGCACCTTTTGTTTTCCATCATTTCGGTTGCGTCTCTTGCCAATTAACTTAATTAGGACACTGCTTTCCACATTGATGCGTGCATATATATATTATTATTATTTATATTATATTCCTATTTTTATACTTAATTATTTATTGACCTGTTACTGTCTAATAATGTGTGCATCGGTAGTGTTGTGGTTTTCTATACTTAGGGCGATTCCATTACAAAATCTATTATATTATTAAAGGAATAAAAAAGGAGCCTCCACGTTCGTTCTTATGGTCTAGAAATTCTCACATTAATCGGAGAAAAAGAAAAATCAGAGTCCATATAGAAATACAATTTAGAAATAGTTGAAATTCGGAATTAAAAAATAAGGAATATTAGAAGAGGAGACTAGAGTCCATATAGAAATACAATTTAGAAATAGTTGAAATTCAGAATTAAAAATAAGGAATATTAGAAGAGGAGACTAGAGTCCATATAGAAATACAATTAGGAAATAATAGAAATTCGGAATTAAAAATACTGGATGGCAGTACAGACAGTCCCTTAAAAATAAGAAATATTAGAAGTAGAGTGTATAGAGTCCATATAGGAATTTAAAACTAACTAAAATTTGAAATAAAAAAGTGCCTCCACGTTCACTCTCATGACGTAGAAATTCTCATATTAATCGGAGAAAAATAAAAAGAAGAGTCCATATAGAAATACAATTTAGAAATAGCTGAAATTCAGAATTAAAAAATAAGAAATATTAGAAGAGGAGACTAGAGTCAATATAGAAATACAATTTAGAAATAGTTAAAATTCGAAATTAAAAAATAAGGAATATTAGAAGAGGAGACTAGAGTCCATATAGAAATACAATTAGAAAATAACTGAAATTCGGAATTAAAAATAAGGAATATTAGAAGTAGAGTATAGAGTCCAAATAGAAATACAATTAAGAAAAAAATAGAAATTCGGAATTAAAAAATTAGGAATATTAGAATTAGAGTATAGAGTTCATATAGGAATTTAAAACTAACTTAAAATTCAGAATTAAAAAGAGCCTCCACGTTCGCTCTCATGACCTAGAAATTCTTACATTAATCGGAAAAAAAATAAAAATCAGAGTCCATATAGAAATATAATTTAGAAATAGCTGAAATTCGGAATTAAAAAATAAGGAATATTAGAAGAGAAGACTAGAGTCCATATAGAAATACAATTTAGAAATAGTTGAAATTCGGAATTAAAAAATAAGGAATATTAGAAGAGGAGACTAGAGTCCATATAGAAATACAATTAGGAAATAACTAAAATTTGAAATTAAAAAATTAGGAATATTAGAAGTAGAGTATAGAGTCTTTATAGAAATACAATTAGGAAATAATAGAAATTCGGAATGAAAAATAAGGAATATTATAAGTAAAGTATAGAAATACAATTAAGAAAAAAAAATAGAAATTCGGAATTAAAAAATAAGGAATATTAGAAGTAGAGTATAGAGTCTATATAGGAATTTAAAACTAACTAAAATTCGGAATAAACATAATAAAATGAAAAGTAGTGTTTAGAGTCCATATAAAAATATAATTTACAAATAACTAAAATTAGAAATTAAGAAAAACATGAGAAGAAGAGTTTAAAGTCAATATAGGAATACAATTTAGAAGTAACTGAAATTTGAAATTAAAAATTAAATATTATTGAAAGATGAGTTTAGAGTCCACATAGAAATATAATTAGAAATAATAAAAATTCAGAATTAAAAAAAGAAATATTAAAAGATAAGTCTATAGTCCATATAGGAATATATATAATTTACAAATAACTAAAATTTGATATTAAAAATAATTAATAACTAACACGTATATAAAATACAATATGAATATTACACATTAGTTGTTTCGTAAAGTTATTGCAAAATTTAAAATTATGTTGTCATTGTAATATATTTTAATAATATAATGAGAAAACATATATGCTATTATACGAGAGAAAATATAATGATGCTAACAGCGCAATCTGCGTGGGCCACCATGCTAGTTACAATTAATTAAGGTTCTCGACATTTATCAATAGTCGGTTTTTTAGTTTTTGAAAATAATCCATTATATATTTATATATGTGCACCATTAACATGATGGTGCAAACGTGATTGCATGAGTCCGCCCACTAAGAATCATATATTGTGTTTGTGTGTATACATACACACACACACACCTGTCTATCCTTAGTTGGTCAAGAGGCTGGACATATTAGTTATAGAACTTCTTTTGAAAAAAAATTATTGCACATGTGTATATACGTTTCTTTTTGGACTTCAATTTTAACACAAGAACTCTATTATATACAATATATAAAAGTAAATGATCACTACAGGAAAAATTCACTATTGCCACGAAAATGTTGCAACCACATATGAGTTCTGGCAGTATATATAGTTTATACTATTACCAATATTTTTTTGGTTTTGCCGTAGTGAACGTATCTTATTGCAATGTTTATTTTGTGGCAATATAAATATTTGTTACCATAAAATTAAAATTGTAGCAACAACCTAATTAAAACAACGGGTTATATTACGTACCACAGCTAATAACGATTTTAGAATTGAAGCAATACATATCTATTGCCATGATTTTGGCTCTAATGCACTAATTTTTTCGTGCCAAAAGATCAATTTCCTAGTAGTTGAAAAACCTTGTTTTTTATAATAACCTTAAATAATAAAATACATTAAATACAATAGATATCATTGGGACTAATTAAGAGAATCACTACAAAAGTTTTCCTAAACTTATGTCATGAAAAGTATACTGAATATGCCAGACTATATATATAAGTCCAAATAAGCACTGAACATATATGCACAGAGAAAGGACCGTTCTCAATATATTGATTACTGTAAGTCTCTAGTGTCACTAGCCTAACCAATTAAAGATGAGTATGCACAGGTGCATTTTTGGCTTTAATTTACTAGCATTATTGTTGTGCCACTTTCTCTTTAGTTTTAGTGAATTTAACATGTAGTACGTGCACTCAATCAGAATTTTACAACATGCTTTAGTCGCGCTAATTAACCTGTACTGACATTCCGTCACAAAAACATTGACTTGCTAGAATAACTATAGGGCATGCATGCATGTGGTTTTTTTTATATATAAAAAATGGTATGCATGATTTACTTGCATTTGTTATTATTAGTGTTGTCCTAGTATATTGTTGGTACAATATGGTCGGACCCATTAACTGGCGAGGGCGTGCGGAAGGTCTCAACCCTGCAGGTTATTAGCATGCATTATTATTGGCATCCAATGATATCTACAATCTTCACATATGATCTTTACACGGTTAGAAAATTATTTTTTTTGCACAATTTTTGCTGTCGATTGATTAGATGAGATAAAAACTACACCAGAAAATTATGATCCATTGATGAGCTTACTGAAGCTAAGGATGCATTGTATGTCAAAATTACTGAAGGATATGACTACTTGATTCTACATACCATGGTTTTGATCCTAGTTTTATTTAAAATTAAAACTAATAGCTCCTTTGTACTGAATTAAGTAATTTTGGAAGAAAAGCAGAGGAACTCAATCCAAAGGAAAAAAAATCCTATGTGCACACGTTTGGTTTGTAGGACTGCATTAAAGTAATTAATACTCCAGATTTTGGCGGAATTCTAGCATGAAGTCTAACTTTAGGTTTGCAAATTCCTTTCGGACTTCCGATGCATTCTCTCTCTTTCTCTCTGCATTATTTCTCTACCAAATCAAAATGTGAACTTAATTAAATATGATGTGTTTTTCTTGTGGTACATTCAAACATTTCGGTAGTATTGTTTTCTATAGAATTTATCATGGTGTGAGTTGTGACATTTTAATTCCGTGTTTTCCTATTCTTGTACTTTAAGAATCTAGTTTGCGTTTCAAATGAGCTCTAAAATAGTTATGTGTAGGTTTAGTTGATGCAGACAACATCATGTACTAGTAGCAACGAGCAAGTTAATTTTTTCTTTGTGATTTAGGGAATTAATTAATTACTCCATATGTTTCATATCGTAAGACTTTCTAGCATTGTCCACATTTATATAGATGTTAATAAATCTAGACACATGGACAATCCTATAAAATCTTACATTGTGAAAACGGATGGAGGAACTACTCCCTCCTTCCCTAAATGTTTGACACCGTTAACTTTTTTAAATATGTTTGACCATTCGTTTTATTCAAAAACTTTTGTGATATGTGTGAAACTATATGTATACATAAAAGTATATTTAACAATAAATCAAATGATAGAAAAAGAATTAACAATTACTTAAATTTTTTGAATAAGACGAACGGTCAAACATTTTTAAAAAAGTCAATGGCATTAAATATTTTGGAATGGAGGTAGTAATTAATAGTGCGGTCAACGAGTGGTAAGTTACTATATCAGGCTGGCTCGATCTGGATCGCATGCATGGACACCAAGTCACTGTGACATGATCCATCGAGCTAGCTAGCTGATGTGATGGATCAAGCGACAAAGCAACTTTGGAC